GGAAATGAAGAAGCATCACTAGCCCTGACCTTTAGTTTGGAGAAGGTCCTAGCCGATGACAGGGAAATGGAGCCTGCCGTCACTTCTGTGAGTACCAGTGGCATCACTGGCCACTTGTCAAATCCTGTAACTTTGTTTGGAGTGTCATTCTAGACTGCATCATTCTTTTTGGAAATGGCACAGACTGTGATTATTTCTGTAGTTGTTCTTATTTAATACAACTCAACCGTCACTTTAAGTGAAAACATTCTGAAGGTGAATGAGAAATTTTCTGTAAATGAAATGTCCTGGCCAAAGGGTGCTTGGTATTTGCTAATCCCACTTTTAATACGTTGATTATTTTGTAAAGTTAATTTTCAAGTATCTGATAAAGATGATGAAAGCCATTTACTTATTTTCCATCTCGCTTTCCTAGGGAGACGGCGGTTCAGCTCTCGGCCTCTAGTCCCACTCCACAAGCCAAGCGCTGGAGAGGAACATCCTTGTCACTTGTTCTAGTGTTAATGAAGGTCTGATTCCAAATGTCATTCTCAAGGTAGTGTTTATATTCGACAATTCACTGGCATTCCTTAAAAACACATAACATCTAAATAAATCTCCTTCCCCAAATCACATTCATCAGAGTCCTAAATCAAGATAATTTAAAGTACAGAATGCACAATTGCGTACCAATGAAGACACACTGATCGTGCGCCAAGCGGCAGGGTTATCACCATGCAGCGGGATACAACACCAAGTCAAAGACATTAAGGACGAATGGTCCACGCTCTCTGCATGGAACTGACATTATCTCTACGTCACAAAACAAGAGGAAGCATCATAGGCCAGGAATGTATCAGAATGACAGGATTTGGCTTCAAAATGGGTTCACTTCGAGAGTCTTTTGAAGCTGTGACCTGGTAAGGCAACTTCCGAACGTTGGAGAAAATTGTTTGGCTTTACTTTAGAAAAATATATCAGACTCTTACTCCTATTAAAAATTAAAAATTCAAGAAAAAAAATAATTTTGCTGAAGCTCTTAGAGACTACCAAGAAGAAAATGATCATCATTTAAAAGTCAATTAAGGGGAAAAAATAAAAAAGCTTTTGGGTTCCACAGCAAATCCAACTGCCTCCTAAATTATAATTTTAACCAATTAACATTACCTTGAAATACCCAGCTTCTAGTGGTATTTGGCTTGTAATACAGCTCCCACCCACAGCCATGCCAGCTGTGCCAATGACAAATTAGCCTCCAGTCAGGTGACTAGGAGCTCAGCCGCATCTTTATGAAATGAAGACAAAGCCCAACAATGAACTCATAAAATGAAAAGATTCATTCAGACCAACCTTTTATTGCACCCACAATATTTTGGTCTAGTCCTTTCCGGTTGTCATTGAGTCCTCTTTTCCTCTTCCCATTGGGTAAGGAGTTAGCCAAAGTGTTGTCATCAAAAAACGCACACACCAGTTTTCTAAACAGAAGGCTTCCTGAGCGGGTGTAGTTTGACAATATAGAGTCCAGCTGAGATTTTGGCATAAACACGTCAAAGCCTTCAGCAAGTTGCACTTCTGGCTAACAAAAGAACACAAACAGTTCATTAAAAGCAACATTTGAAGCATGTGACTTTGGGCATATGAGCCACACAAAACATCACTAGCTATTGAAACGTCCACATCCTGCTCATGAGAAGAGTCTCCATTTTCTAGGTCAGTATTTACAATTTTAAAAATCAACTACTAATTATTATAATTACAAAAAAAAACGAGAAGCAGCTCTAATTCCGATATTAAGTCTTATCAAAAACAATGGAAAGGAGTACCATGAAAGAACAGCCTTGACCTCAAAAAGATCCCAGGGCCAACAAGATAGTCAGACATACAATGCTAGGGCTAAAGGGAACTTGAGACTTCTGCGTGACGCTCCCTTATTCTGTAAATGAAAGAACTAACTAAGGCCCAAGGAGATTTTAACACAAGTGGCTTTCAAATAATTCCAATATACTTTGTGCAGTACGTTACAGATGTCTTTGTTATGTCGATTTGGCTTCGCCCCTAGGTCCCGCTCTCTTTCTACTATGTCAGTGGTTTTCAGCTGTGGACGATTTCTTTTCTTCAGTGAGAACACATGTCAATCTAAGACATTGAATAAGTCCAACTACCTCACTTTTGGGAGCAAAATCTAAAATTCTATCCTAGAGCACCACTGAAAAACCAATATGCTAATCACACTGCCTCTTGTCAGGGATACCTGAAGGAATAGTTACATGCCTGGGACACGGAATCAGGAGACTTGCACGGGGCCTTTCAACGTGGATGCTATCCTACGGTAACACATCACAGGTGCATGCTCCATCAGCAGGCCAGAGATGTTTACAATTCACCGCTTCATCATTCAGTCCAGCTCCCCTCATTTCCTTTTCAAAGCCTTCCGAAGGGGGCAGCTATTTCACTGCTATTTGTCTGACAATCAGACATAAGACTGCATTGACCATACCATATTACAGCTATTTATTAGACCGTGACCCTTCATTAGGTTTGGGGCTCTGAGCCTGGATACCTATGGCCTGGCACATCGTAGGGACTCAATAAATTCTTATAATTTTATTTTAACATTCATCAGTTATAATCTAAACTATTAAGTTATTCATTGTTGAGTATAACATGATAGAGCTAAAATAACTTACAGATGAAATCATGTATTTTTTTAGGAAAAAAATCAGAAGAAACTGACAAGTAAGACATACTACAACAGCTTAGTCTTAGATCTCATGTGTAGCACTTTACAAACCTGGAACTATTTTAGACGGTCTAAATCATAGTAGAAATGTGAGCATTCAGGATTAGGTTCTCTCCTTCAAAATAGTAATTATTTTGTTTGTCATACTGCTTTTAAAAGTGCCTAGAAACCATGGTTAAAGTAAAGATTTGGGAATGGTTTAAATTACTTAACTGTAGGAAGGAGGTGGGGCCATGACCTTCGGAAACAGAATTTTTGACAGGCTAAACTCATGTCTCTGCTTCACTTTGCCATCCAATGTTTTGTCTATGAA